ATCCTCTCAACCGGACCGAAGAAGCTGAAGCTTTGATACTGGAAATGGATATACAGTCGTTAAGGCTTACTTGTTGATCACTAGTAAGAATGGAATTTTAGAACCACATATTTTCAAAAGGCTATGGGGCAGATTAATCCCATCAAAGATCAGCTACTTTGGATAGCGCCTCCTCCTTAATGGCCTCCCAACAAAATCAAGCCTTATAAAAAAGGGTATCTAGCTTGAAGAACCAGAGACTATGTGCTACATTTGTAGAAGAGAGCTCGAGGATGATAATCATTTGTTTATCCAATGTTCAAAGATTCAGAGACTGTGGATGAGATGTTACAAATGGTGGGGGATTTCCTTTTCCCTCCCTAATACAATTTCTCTCCTAAGTGAAGCTCATTGTTCAGGGATCAAAAAGCTAGTCAACTCTGATATTTGGTTTCTGATTTTCTTAGTGATCACATGGTCCATATGATACATAAGGAATTCTATTATCCATCAATCTCAACAATGGGACGAAGACAAAACTTTTGATTTAATCCAAAGGAGGATTTTACATGGATTAGGGGGAGATCTACTAGGGCTGGTTTTCCCTTCTTCTATTGGTGTAATTTCCCTAATTTATGTGTGCAAGAAATTACTAAGACTTCTCATCCATACTTTAGGTCCTCTTATTGTTCATAGGTGTTTCTTTTGTAATGCATGCTAGAGATTATGAGTAGAGTACTCCTTGTACTTTTTATCATAATAAATCATTTTGATTCATCTAAAAAAAATTTATTGTCACAACGTACTTAAATGCTTGTTTAATTACATATAATTATCATTACAACATGACAATTTAATTAAATTATTAAATTGGAAAAAGAGAAAAGCAGGTCCACTTTCATAAAACGGCGCCGTTTAGACAATAAAGGGAAAATTTAATCCGTCCGTTATCCTTTTTCATTGAGGCATTCCGTCTAGCCGGAGCAACAGCTATGGCAATCAATGGATTCAATGCCGTGTTCAGTTTGACGGTTATGGTGCTGCTCATGACGGCTGCCGCTGCTGCAAACGAATACACTAACCACACCGTTGGCGATGATACCGGCTGGTTCTTCGATCCCGTCACCGACACCTCTGTTAGTAAATTACACTTCTTGGGCCGCAAATCAAACCTTCAATCTCGGAAACTATCTCAGTAAGGCTCACACCTTTTCCTATTTCATATACCCTCTTGTTGAAAATGTTCGGTTTTGACAGTGAATTTTAGATCAAGTCATCGTTTGGTCACAATGGAACAGAGGAAATTTTTCAGGAAATAATGGAAATCTAAACTTGAAATCTGATTTTGTTGAAATGAATTAGAGTAAGTTCTTATTACGCTATCTCGTTTGAAATCGCAGATTCGAATAATTCCCCTTTGTTTTCTAATTGGGGAAAGGGAAAAGCAGGTCGACCTGCAAAAAAAATAGTTGCAGCCTCCGGCGAAGACGATGGAGCTCTGGCAAGATAACTCTGCAGCGATGGGTTTTCGGTAAGAGGAGAAGGGGCTTCTGATGAGGTTGCACAGGAGGAAACGAACGATTAAATTTACCCATTATTGTCTAACGGCGAAGACGATGTAGCTCAGGCAATTTTTTCTGCAGGTCGACCTGCTTTTCCCTTTCCCTTATTAAATTATAATGGCAAAAACCCATCCTAAGCCCCTCAACTTTTTCAGCAGCAAGTGATAAGCCCCTGAACTAAAAAAGTGACAAATAAGCCCTCCAACCCCACGATGGGTGCAAATCAGCCCTTCCGCTAACTGACTTCCTGACGCCGTTTGTCATCGGCTTCCGTGGCACTGCACCTGCACGCCTTTGCTTTTACTTCATTTGTTTTTAATAATAATATATATTTTAATTAATTGATTTAAAAAAATTAATTAATTAATATTATGTAA